TAAGACAGACTACACAGACTGTAGAGTGTCATGCTATCATGCTTCACCCGGGATTTCCAAAAATTCCAAATTTAGATGTACACTTTTTGTTTATATACTTTTTCTTTTATTCTTTTGCCCAAGATAGACTTTTTTTTTTTTTAAAAAAGTCAACTTTTGTATATGTTTTTTACTTGGTTAATGAAGCTGAATCAAATTCTAAAGTCACTTTTTTTATTATTTATAGAGAAGAAAACTGTCAAGCTACCTGGGTTCATTTAACAACCACAATTCCAATTCCAAGGTAATCCACTCTGGTCTGTCTCATGCAGAAAGCACTTTTCATTGTGTGCAATATGTTCAATGATGAATAAAGGTTCAAATACAGGAGGGTAACATTAAGAATATGCATATAGTCATCGGTAGTCTCAATTGATTTACAGAAACCATACATAAATGAAAAAATGAAAGTATGAGAATAAATACACAAATTCAATTGAAAATACACAATGCAAGGACATGGTGTAGGTCTATATATATATACAGTATATATATATATAAATATATATATATATATATATGCCCTATACTGTATATATACTACTAAAAACAAGACACCTATGTAAATTACAATGCCAAACATGAATAAACCAGAAAGTATACAACATTCTCACAATTGATAGTTTAGTTAATTATGTCTTTCTCTACTATAGGATTATAAACAGTTGATGAACAAGGAACTATGTGGTGTTTGAAGCTGCTCTTGACACTGCTGTGGAACTTTCATGGTAGTGAAACAAAAGTTTTATTCATCAAAAAACATTTAAGGAATTCTTATACAGAGGAGGATTGTACCTAATTTTACTGTCTAATTTTCATTTAGATGTCACTTGCCAATGGAACGTTTGGTTACCTCGAGACATTTCAGCCATGACAAACTCATGTGTGGTCATTCCCTGCACCTTCATGTATCCATCTGGCATCAAACCCTATCGTGGCATTCATGGTATCTGGTACTTTGGCCAACCTTATCCCCAGCTTTTTCCCCCAGTGGTCTTCAAAACCCGCACAGACGTTGTGCATGAGAGCTACAAGAAACGCACCAAGCTGCTTGGGGATCTACACCAGAGGAACTGTACTCTTTTGATCAACAAAATTGGCACAGAGCACTCGGGAAGATACTACTTCCGTGCCGACCTTGGTGGAGCAAACATGTATACATACCCAGACTTTGCTGAGCTTAAAGTTCTTGGTAAGAAAAATGACTGGAGATGTAGAAAGTAAAGTAAAGAAGGTTAACACTCTCAATGTTTTGAAGATCAAAAAAGTAAAGTCAAGATTAACACTCTCAATGTTTTGAAGATCAAATGAAAAATGCCAAAGACATTTATGTAATTAAACGATACATTCAATTTGAAATTGGTCTTTAAACATTGTTTACGTTATAGGAATTGGATGAATGCATGCAACACATGTTTAAGTTTATATCCTTCTTTAGCATTGTACTGCGTTTTACCTTTTAGATTGCTTTTCTGAAATCGATCAACTTAATCTTTATTGGTAAGCTACATTATAATAAAATACTGTTTTATTATAACACGGCTTTTTTCATGTCAACTAGATCAGCCCAGTATTGATGTCCCAGAAGAAATTGTGAGTGATTTGAATCTTGAGTTGACATGTTATGCGCCGGACAACTGTCCTGACATGAGTCCCGAGATCCAGTGGATGTACACAGACTACTTGCCAGATCCAGAGTTCTCCAATGACTACCTGGAAGAAGGCAACACAGCAGTGCTGTCTAGTACCCTTACATTTATACCCAGACCCATTCACAATGGCCAGCTCCTGGGTTGCAGGGTATTCTATCCTAACACCACACTTGTCTATGAGAGGCTCATCTCACTGGACATCAAGTGTAAGTTTAATTATTATGATATTCAGTATAACACAAGAAACTAAAATTTATAAACGTAAAAATAAAGCCAATCATATCTGAAATGAGTGAAACTACTAAAATAAACAAAAGATAAACAATCATTTACAATACAGTCTTATAATTATACTTTTTAAATCATGATAATAAACCATAGTAATTGGAGAAAGTACTATTGTTTGTATATACAGTATGTATATATGCACCCACAGTTTAAAAGTGTGTTCATTGTTCGTAATTTGCAGATTATATGCCTAATTTAGAGCAGTTAACCAGTTGTTGTGTTAATTTTGTCTCTAACTTTTCCTCCAGATGCACCACGTTCTGTGTGGGTAAATCTGTCCTCTGAAGTGATGGAAGGCAAGTCTGTCGTGCTTTACTGTGAGGTAGACAGTAATCCTCAGGCCAGGATTTCCTGGATGTTTGGAGACAAGGAGTTAGTGTGGGACAATGCAGCAAACATCTCACTGCAACTGGATGACTTGTCAGCTGAACAGGAGGGAGTCTACATCTGTGTTGGTGACAATGGCTATAGCATGATGAATACCTCACTCTACCTGACTGTCAAGTGTAAGTGTAAAATCAGACTACCATCTGCACTTAATGCTGCTATTAGTGTATGGTGAGAAAACATAGGTATAATTTAACTTGCAGTCACTTTAGAAGTAAATAAATTAAAATTAAAGTAAAACTAAAACCAACAAACTATGTATTTAAATTAGAGAGTGTGATACACTAATGAGTTCATCACAGACATTTAGAGAAATTGCCTATTTACCTAATCTGCAGAAAACCATTGTTTACAATTGCACACATGCAACTTCCGTGCAGAAATACTGATTGAATCAGCTAACCAGTGATCTTATCTTATTACATCACATCTTAGAATGTCTTCCACGTTGTTTTAGGACAGATGTAACACAGAAATATAAATACATGGATAATTAATTTGCTAAATGTCATATACTGATCAAAAGCCCCCCACAGTGTCATGCTGAAATTATGAAATATTAAAAAAAATGTCCCAACACTGTCTGGCATAATAAAATATAACTCTGGACCTTGACCAGATTTCAGCAATAAGGGATGTCGTAAACATTTAGGCAGAGATAACAATTGCTTAAGGCCAGATGGTTCCAGACATTGGCTGACTAGGTATAAGAAAACAACTGACACGCTGCACAACAAGGGCAACCTGATGTAGGGCAACAGAACAGGGCATCACCCAGCACTGACAGAGTGCTGAGTGAGATGGTGGAGAAGAGTTGAGATTAGATTTTCATCAGTTGACAGTTGGATGTGTGGGCAGACATAAAATATTCTATCCTGTTGCAGGTGGCAAAGCGGATCTGTATTTGGGGAACCTTATTGACTGGGATGCCACTATGGTCATGCTGAATTGTAAATGGAATAACAGGGCTCTTTGTATGAAAAGTGAATAAGTTCCAGAATTGAGCTGGAGAGGGAGTTGGCAATCCTACTTGTAGGAGAAGTTGAAACAAACCAAAAAGTACAGTTTGGATCAAAAAATTGTGGTGTAACCAACAAAACTCAATTTATTCATACAGTGTATGGCTCGCATTACGTTTTGGAATCTGGAGATGGTGATGTTCCATATTTCTCCAATCTCTTGCTTAACTGTTCTGGTGGCTTGGTGTGCATTCGGAGGGCAGTATGATTTTTGGGAAGAGATGCCTCCTAAGAAGCCTCTGTGCTCTCGTTGAAAAGCTCAGCACGCTCTTTGAAAACACAATCCCTGTGCAGCATCTTCTTCTTCTTTTCCTTTCGGCTTGTCCCTTTTTTCAGGGGTTGCCACAGCGAATCAACATTTTCCATCCCTCCATGTTCTCTGCGTCTTCTACTCTGACTCAACTATCTGCATGTCCTCCCTCACTGCATCCATATATCTCCTCTTTGGCCTTCCTCTTTGTCTCCTACCTGATAGCTCCATCTCTAACATTATTCTACCAATGTATCCACTGTCTCTCCTCCGCACATGTCTAAACCATCTTAATCTTGCTTGTCTGGCTTTTTCTCCAAAGCTTCCTGTCTGTGTTGTCCCTCTAATGATCTCATTCCTGACCCTATCATCCTTGTCACTCCTAAAGAGAATCTTAGCATCTTTAACTCTGCCACCTTCAGCCCCGCCTCCTGTCTTCTACCTATTGCGTGTCTCTAAACCATACATTATGGATGGTCTCACCACCATCCTGTAAACCCTTCCCTTCACTTTAGCTGGCACTCTTCTATCACAGACTCCACTCCTGACACTTTTCTGCAGCTGTTCCATCCTGCCTGCACTCTATTCTTCACCTCGATTCCACAGTCTCCGCTGCTCTGAACAGTTGATCCTAAGTACCTAACCTCCTGCACCTTCACCACCTCTGCTCCTTGTAACCTCACCATTTCACTGTTCTCCCTTTCGTTTACACATGTACTCTATCTTGCTACGACTGACCTACATTCCTCTTCTCTCTAGTGCAAACCTTCACCTCTCTAAGTTCTCTTCTAGCTGTTGCCTACTCTCACTACAGATTACAATATCATCTGCAAACAACATAGTCCATAGGGACCCCTGTCTGACCTCATCTGTTAATCTGCCCTTCACTAAGGCAAACAAGAAGGGGCTCAGGGCCAATCCTTGATGTAGTATCATATATGTCCTGCACCAAACTAACATACTTCTCTGCCACTCCTGACTTCCTCATCCAAAACCACAATTCCTCCCTTGACACTTTGTCATATGCCTTTTCTAAATCTACAAATACACAATGCAGCTCCTTCTGACCTTCTTTGTACTTCTCCATCAGCATCCTCAAGGCAAATATTGCATCTGTGGTACTCTTTCTTACGTCTCTGCAGCTCACATTGAGACTGATACCTTAGCACAGGCACCCACGATCCATTGGCAGATAGTGGCGTAATTCGCCCGGTGTTGCCTCCCTGTCTTGGTGAATGTGTGTTCGCCTTCTGTCATCCAATGCTTCCACAAAGCTCGCAATATAACTTTGAACACCAATATTTAGCAGTTGGAATTCTTTGGTCAATCCACCCGGAATGATAGCAAGCCCCGAATTAGTTTGCTTCACTTGGGATTTGACAATATCGGTGAGGTGGGCGCGCATGGAGATCAATAGGGATGAAGATTTGTCGTAAAGGGTAGTGACATAAGTTGGACACTGGAGGACGCTGTTGTTGTTGTTTGCCCCTCCAGTGTCAGGCAGTTGTCACTATTTATTGTTCTGGACGGTCACCTTATTGTTGTTTTGACGATGTTTTCTGTGGATGTTGTTTTGCAGAGAGAGTGTGTGTTTATACTGTATTGATAAAAAAAGGAAAAAACAGAGTTCTTGGCCACAAAAAAATCGACAGCCATGCATCTGAGTCGCACAGGGTTATAAGGCGCACTGTCAATTTTTGAGGAAATTAAAGGCTATTTAATGCGCCGTATAGTGCCGAAAATACGATACTTCTTTTCTCCATCCTATGTAATAATAATAATAATACATTTTATTTCATAGGCGCCTTTCTGTCACACAAGGACACCTTACAGTGAATACAGAGATAACAACACAGCATTAAAAAACAATGAAACATTAAGAACAAAATAAAATACGACAGTGAAATATCAGACGGAGAAGGCAATTTTAAACAGATGAGTTTTAAGTGCAGTCTTGAATTGTGGGAGTGAATTGACATTACTCAAGACGGCGGGTAGAGAGTTTCAAAGCTGGGGAGCAGAGCGACTGAAAGCTCTGTACCCCATGGTGGTGGGGACAGTCAGATGAATGGAGGAGGATGATCTGAGGAAGCGGGAGGGATCAGTGACATGAAGAAGATCTGAGATGTATGGTTGAGCAGAGTGGTGGATGGCTTTGAATGTGAGCAGAAAGATTTTGTAGTTAATACGGAACTTGATCGGGAGCCAGTGAAGCTGTTGCAGGACAGGAGTGATGGGGTGGATGGAAGGGGTTCTAGGAATGATGGGTTCTGGACCAGCTGGAGCTTATGAAGAGACTTGTGGGTGAGACCAAAGAGGAGGGAGTTGCAATAGTCAAGGTGGGAGGTGACAAGGCTGTGAACCAGGATGGAAGTGGTATGGGGAGTGAGGGAGGGGCGGAGGCGGTTGATATTGCAAATAAATAGATGGATCGGGTGACGTCGTTGATATGAGATTGAAAAGATAGTGTGCTGTCGAGGATGACACACGGACTCTTAACCTGTGGGGAGGGGGAAATGGAGCAATTGTCGATATCAATAGAGAAACTGTTGGTTTTCAATAATGTTGTTTTGGTACCAATGAGGAGAACCTCTGTTTTGTTACTGTTTAAGAAAATTTAAGGTGAACCAGGATTTTATTTCAGTCAAGCAGTCTAAAAGAGAAGGGGGTGGGAGGTTGGAGTCTGGGTTTGCTGGCTAGGTGGGTGTCGTCAGCATAGCAGTTGAGTGTTTGCGGAAGATATTACCAAGGGACAGAAGATAGATGATGAACAGAAGGGGACCCAGGACAGAGCCCTGGGCACACCTGAAGTGACAAAAGAGGGCTGGGATGTGAAGGTTTTTAGTTGGATGAACTGAGTGCGGCACGACAGGTATGATTTAAACCAGTTTAGAGGGATCTGAGTGATACCAAGGGCAGAGAGTCTATTGAGGAGGGTGGAATGACAAATGGTGTCAAAAGCTGCTTAGGTCAAGGAGGATGAGGGTGGAGAGTAAACCAGAATCAGCTGAGGAGGTCATTGGTGATTTTAATGAGGGCAGTTTCTGTACTATGAAGGGAGCGGAAGCTAGATTGGAACTGTAATAGAGGTTATTGTTGGAGAAATGGGCATTGAGTTGAGGAGTTGAGTTGCTACAATTTTCTCGAGTATTTTAGAGATGAAGGGCAAGTTGGAGATTGGACGTAGGTTATTAAAATTGGTGGGGTCAGTGCCAGGTTTTGTTTTAGAATTAGGGTTATACAGTGAGTGTAGTGATTTGGTGTTGCCTTCATGTAAACAGATTAAACCAGTGTAGTAGTTGGATTTTGTTTTGGTGATACAGTCCTTGTAGTGCAGCATGTGATTTTTGTAAATGTCTTGGTGAATAGTTAGCCGTTCAAGTTGTCGGCCTTTGGCTTTCATGAGTCGAAGTTCAGGCGTAAACCAGGGGGCAGAACGGGAGAAGGAAACAGACCTGTTTTTTTGCGGAGCAAGAGAGTTGAGTATATGTTGAAGTCTAACGTTGTAGTGAGAGACCAGTTCTTCGGGAGGGGTTATATTGTGAAAATCCATGAGGGGGTAAATACTAGAGGCAAGAGTGTCCATGTTAATGTTCTTAATATTACGGTAGGAGATGAGACCAGGCAGCTTGGTGACAAAAAGAGGGAGACTTATGTTAAATGAGAGGAGGAAATGGTCAGTTATTGGGAGTTCATCAGCTGTGTGGTTGGTAGGAGAGCCAGAGCAGCAAGTTAGATGTGACCATGAGTATGAGTGGGAACATTAGTAAACTGTTGGAATCCAAAGCTGTCCAGGCAGGATGAGAAGTCTTTGGTAAGAGGCTTATTAATATTATCCATGTGGATGTTGAAATCTCCCAGTACTATATTGTTTGGTGAGAGGGTAGACATATAAGTAAGCAGAGCAGCAACGTCGTTTAAAACCTGGTAATTGGGTTTAGGGGGACAGTAGACAGTTGTAATGATGGTAGGAGTACAACCAGACAGTTGACACACGATGGATTCAAAGGAGGAGAAGTTTGGAACAGACACCAGCTAGACTTTCCATTTCTCGCCGTGGATTATGGCGAGACCTCCTCCTCGGACAGATTTGTGGGGTTGACAGATGTAAACAAACCCCGTAAGAGTGGATTCGTTTAGTTGAGAGGTCGATGTCTCGGTTAAACAGAGAAAGTCAGACTTACGGTCTGTGAGGAGATCCTGGATGAGATGTCCTTTGCTCGTGAGTGAGCAAATGTTGAGCAGACCAAAGTTGACGGTGGTGTTGTCACATCTGGGAGGAGTGTTAGCCAACCGGGCTAGGTAGGTTAGCACACTGTGGTCAACGACCCAGCCAATGTTTCGTGGGGGGCGACGAGAGGTGGACCAGATGGACTTAATTGTTTTTGAGGTGTCTTCATGGATGTTCCGACAAGACCCACGGTGTATATCTGCGGCTGGGCAGGATAGTAATGCCCAGGAGGAGCGGTGATGCAGCTGATGGGGGTGCATACAGGTTGGAATGAAGCTGGAGAAGCCCAGCAGTGGAGTATTGGAGCAGGCCCATCGCAGGTTGGTGAAGGAAATGACAGCAAAATCCAGAGAAGAACGGACTCAAAGTGCATCCTGCCAGTTAACACTGTGGTGAACAAACTCTGCGGGGACTCGGTCGGAATGGACACAGGAGCGGTGACAGTTGTGGATCAATAAGCTGCTAAAAAACCTAAACTAAAAACTTAAAGTGATAGCTTAAAAGTGAGCAGCGTAGGCGAAGTCGTGCCAGCATTCACTCCGCCCCAAAGTTTGTGTCCAAACTCTCATACAACTTCTCATATTCTTTTTGTTTGGCCTTGGCCACTTCCCTCTTCACCTCCCTTGTCCTCTCTGCACACTCTCCTGGACCTCATCATTCCACCACCAGGTCCCTTTGTCCTCCTTTTTCTGACCAGTGGACATACCTAGCACCTTCCTACCTGTCTCCCTAATCACTGTAGCTGTAATCTCCCAATCATCTAGACATTTTTCAGCACAGCCCAGAACTGCCCTTACTTCCTTCCTGAAGTCTTCAAAACATTTCTCATTGATTAATTTCCACCACTTGATCTTCTGCTATGTGTTCCCTCTCTTCCGTTTTTTCACCTCCATCCGTCATATTGCACACTCCCATCCGATGTTGTTTGGCTACACTCTCACCTGCCACCACCTTACAGTCATTAATCTCCCTTAGATTACATCTTCTACATAGAATATAATCTATCTGTGTGGACCTGCCTCCACTCTTGTAAGTCACCCTGTGTTCCTCTTTCTTTTGGAAATAGGTATTTACCACAGCCAGTTCCATTCTTTATGTGAAATCTATCACTGCCTGTCCTTCCAAGTTTCTATCCCTAACACTAAACATCCCCATCACTTCCTCATCTCCTCTGTTCCCTTCCCATATATGACCGTTAAAATATGCTCCAATCACCACTCTCTCTCCCCTGGGGATGCTCTCTACCACCAAATTCGTCTCATTCCAGAACTTCTCCTTTTCTTCCACCTCACAGCCCACCTATAGGGCATAACCGCTGAAAACATTCATCATCACTCCTTCTATTTCTACCTTCACACACATCAACCTGTCTGACTCTCGTTTCACCACATTTCTTGCATATTCTTTCTTTAGGATCGAACCATAATAAAATAGTTTGTAGCCTCCTCTAATGTTTCTAGCCTTGCTGCCCTTCTACCTGGTCTCTTGCACACACAAAATGTCTACTCTTCTTCTCCCCATCATGTCAGCTGGTTCTTTACCTTTCCCTGTAATAGTACCTACATTCAGAGTTTCAACTTTTAGACTAACACGTCTATCTCTTTTCTCTTTTTGTCCGAATCAAACATCCTCCTTATCTTCTTTGTCTTCGACCAACAGTAGTCCAATTTCTACCAGTACCCTGTAGGTCAACAGCACTGTTGGCGGTCGTTGTTAACCCGGGCCTCGACTGATCCGGTATGGAAATCGTTTTTGTGGTTATTATATGATATGTGATATTTGAATTGGCTAGAGGTTTTACGCCGGATGCCCTTCCTGACTCAACGCTCTCTATTTATTTGGGCTTGGGACTGGCACTATAGTAACACTGGCTTGTGTACACTAGTGGCTGATTTACTCCCTGTGCAGCATACGGTTCTCCAAATCCTCCAAATGTTGCAAAATGGTGCAGTCTCTATGCCTATGTAGTTGCCAAGGCGATGAATATGAATTACTTTGCGAGTGGACCTTCTTGGTGTTACCATTTTATGCAACGCAACTGCCTCTCTATCAGAGCATGGACAACTATGTCCCAAGAACCGCCAGTAGACTTCCAAGCCAATTTCAACAGTTTTCGTGAGTTCGTTGAATAGAAAGTTACTGAGCACAACGTGACATTGGATCATATTATTAACATGGACGAGGTCCCACTCACTGTCTCCTTTGTTGGGTTGTATTTGTAGTTTCACTGTTCTACCACTAGATTTTGTGCATACGCATGGTCAGAGCTGTGTTAAGATTACACACTTTTCTACACACAAGTACAAGTTGATAAATTCCTTACTTTGTGTAGGAATGTTTGTACACAGAAATTATACACACTTCTGTGCACATGTATGGTTGATAAATGAGGAACTGTCTCACATCATTTTTGGACCGGAACTTCGGACAGGATGCGATGGCTGTTGTTTTGTCCAAATGTGGTACTGTTCCTGCTGCCTAAGCAGTGCCCCAGATACATCCCTCTGTCCAACTGCACACTTTGCTGTGTTGACCGTGAGCCCTAACTGCCTCAATGACTCAAGCAACACTGCCTCCTGCTGCAGATGTCCTGACTAGCTGGTGCTCCGGGCAAAGGTCGTTTTAGAAGGGCCAACGGTACTTCTAAACTAGCAAGCCATTGTCCCATCATGCTTCAAAGCTGCCACGCTTTTATTCTCTAATCTGCTCTTCACCCTACTGACACATGACTGCACAACAACATACAGCACCAACCACCTTATGAAGTTTGCGGACGACACAACTCTGGTGGGTGTTATTACCAAGGGCGATGAGACTCACTACAGGAAAGAGGTAGACCTTTTGACCGCGTGGTGCAGAGACAACAACCTCCTGCTGAATGTCAGCAAGACTAAGGAGATTTCTGCCAGATCTGCACCCAACATCTGCCACTGACCGTCAATGGTGCTGCTGTGGAGAGAGCTGCACATCAACGAGGACCTCTCCTGGACCACCAACACTGCATGACTGGCAAAGAAAGCCCAGCAGTGCCTCTACTTTCTGCACAAACTCAAACGGGCAAGTCCTTCACCACCCATCATGACCACTTTCTACAAAGGAACCATTGAGAGCATCCTTTTCAACTGCATTGCTACTTGGGGCGGAAGCTGCGCTGACTACAACAGGAGAGCCCTGCAGCGCATAGTGAACACAGCCAGGAAGATCATTGATGCACCACTCCCCTCCCTGCAAGACATACAACACCCGCGTCATTCGCAAAGATAATAATAATAATAACAAAAACAATAATGATAAAAGTAATATTTATTTTAACTGTTACCAAAATTTCTCTCATGCAGACCCTCCACGTGAGCCCCTTGTAAACAACTCCATGACAGTCCTGGAAGGAACCTCACTGGATCTTCACTGCAGTGCCCAGGGCAGCCCTACCCCAACCCTCACGTGGCTGAAAGATGGGGAGTTGGTGGGCATCATCTCTGCTGATAAACTTTCAGTGCTGGAGATTAAAGAGATCACACCACAAGGGGATGGACATTACCGTTGCTTGGCTGAAAACCAGCACGGTCGAGCCAGCAGCTCCCTTAACATCACTGTTGAGTGTAAGTTAATAACGTCATAATAAGGTGAAAAATACATGACATGTTTCCTCAAAAGAAAAACAACTGTCTTTATTAAAGGGTTAGAATTAGGTTTAGATTAGATTAGTGTTGTTTAACATGACACATTTGTTTGCTTCTTAAACTTCACAAGATTTGACAAAAATTTTAGTATTTATATTTTAAGCTTTAGGTGCACAAACCCTTATTTCATTCCAAGGCTACTACATACCTTTTTCACAAATAATTAAATATCCTTGGTCAACTGATCAAAGATGTATAGGAGTTCCCTGATGTTAGCGTCTGCTTGTAAAGCCTGAATGGCGCCTGAATCCAGCTCCTGTGAATACACAGTGCACCCATGCTTAAAAAATCCAAACACAATAATGATTGTACCTTTTTCTGTCTCCCTTAACAGATTCTCCCATACTGCTTGATGGGTCAAAGTGTACAGTAGTGAGAGAAGGCGTGCAATGTGTCTGTATGGCCATCGGAAACCCCGAACCCACCATTGAGTTCTACTTGCCTGACCAAAACATTACTATTAATGAAACAGACAGACAATACAGCTTCCACACTCATACAGATGGACATACCTCCACAGGCATGATAAAGATGCGGGAAAATGGAGAACAGGTTGATAAAGATGGGCCTGCTGTCAATGTCCACTGCAGTATCTACAACATGTATGGAAGAGAGAGTGTAATTTTGGAGCTGCAGCAGGAAAGTAAGTAAAAAACATTTGTACATTATGACTGTTTTGTAATAGATTTTGGTTTATGTGTTTTATAAGATATATAGATAAGATATATATATCCTGAATTTTTTTTGATGACTTACCTAAGGCTACTGTGTGATACTGTCAATTTTCAGTCAAACCTAATTGATCATAGGTCACTAATTGGGAGACTGGATGTAGTCTCATCTTATCTAGACCCCAAATTGGAACCAATTGTTTTGGTTTGGTAAAATTTCATGTGCCTCTTCCCAAGTGTGTAGCTACTTTGGTTTTAGAGATAAAATGCAGGACCTTCCTCTCATGTGATGATTATCAACCAATTATGCATTCTACATGCAGAGTGACTTACCTGTCAGTGAGGTACACAGTCAAAATGGGGAGGTAATTAGCATTGTGATTTCAAAATTTGGATTTTAATGTATGGTGTAATCACGGATTTTAACAGCTAAAGGCCTGGCCTGGACTGATAATCTGTATTTTCTCCCAGAAGATTATTCAAACCGTGTGTTGTGCTCTGAGATGGAGGTCATTTTTAAAAGTGATATTATTAAGGACATTGAGTCATGGCACTTGACCCTTTGCTTCTCCTCAAATTAGCAGTTAGGGTACACACTGAATAACAGGCATAGGATTATCATGGAATCACAATCTTACTTATTCATTTTCTGCCTGAAACAGCTGCTCCCTTAAAGTAGTGTCAATATGTGGCCTTGGCCCCTTCCCTCTTCACCTCCCTTGTCCTCTCTTTGTACTCCAGTCTGTTCTCTTCTGTTCTGTCACTATCCAATCTCTTCTTCGCTAATCTGTTTCTCTGCACACTCTCCTGGACCTCATCACTCCATCACCAGGTCTGTTTGTCCTCCTTTCTCTGCCCAGAGGACATTCCTAGCACCTTCCTACCTGTCTCCCTAATCACTGCAGCTGTGGTCTCCCAACCATCTGGGAATTCCTCAACATGGCCCAGAACTACCCCTACTTCCTTCCTGAAGTCTTCACAACATGTCTCTTTCTTTAATTGCCACCTCTTGATCTTCTGCTCTGTCCTCACTCACTTCCTTTTTTTCACCTCCATCGTCATCTTGCACACTACCATGCGATGTTGTTTGGCTACACTCTCACCTGCCACCACCTTACAGTCATTAATCTCCCTCAGATTACATCTTCAACATAGAATATAATTTATCTGTGTGGACCTGCCTCCACTCTTGTACGTCACCCTGTGTTCCTCTTTCTTTTGGAAATAGGTGTTTACCACAGCCATTTCCATTCTCTTTGCAAAATCTCCCCCCGCCTGTCCTTCTAAGTTTCTCTCCCTAATGCCAAACCTGCCCATCACTTCCTCATCTCCTCTGTTCCCTTCCCCTACATGACCATTTAGGTCTGCTCCAATCACCACTCTCTCTTCCCTGGGGATACTCTCTATCATCCAATCCAGCTCATTTCAGAACTCCTTTTCTTCTAACTCACATCCCACCTGTGGGGCATAACCGCTAAAAACATTAAATATCACTCCTTCTATTTCTACCTTCACACACATCAACCTGTCTGACTCCTGTTCACCCCTACCCCATTTCTCTTCCCATCCGAACCAAGATAAAAGTTTGTAGCCTCCTCCAATGTTTCTAGCCTTGCTCCCCTTCCACCTGGTCTCCTGCACACACAAGATATCTACTCTTCTTCTCTCCATCATATCAGCTAGTTCTCTACTTTTCCCTGTAATTGTACCTACATTCATAGTTCCTTCAGACCAACACTTCTATTCTTCCTCTTTTTCTCTTTTTGTCTGAATCAATTGTCCTCCTCTTCTTCTTTGTCTTCGACCAACAGTAGTCCAATTTCCACCAGTACCCTGTACGTCAACAGCACTGTTGGTGGTCGTTGTTAACCCGGGCCTTGACCGATCCGGTATGGAAATCATTTTTGTGATTCGTATATTTGATTCATGGGAGTTTGCCCAACCGGTCCACATGTGTTTTGTGGACTTGGAAAAGGCTTTCGACCGTGTCCCTCGCGGTATTCTGTGGG